TCAATCAAAGCATACGTCCGTAATATTTGAGTTAATGTTTCTTTGGATGATACCGTGCTTGACTGATCTTTTATTGTCAACAAAGCTAGACGAAGAGCGGATGATAAATTAATGCGAAGTGTATCTTTGATTCTAGTGATGCGCTGCAAAAATGAATGAGCCAATAAAAACATTCAAATTTATGAATGAATTAAAATAAAGCTAATTAAAATAAAAGTTTCTGCATACCCAATCGATATTTTCCACGAAGGGTAAATCTTTTCCCCTATTAACCAGGTATTGCATCTGATTATACTCAATGGCCACTCGCTCAATTTGCTTCACATTGCTCCCGCTAATGACAATAATGTTGAGTATGATTTAATCATGGAGCAAGAATTATAATAGAAAATAACATAATAAAACATAGGAAAATACCTTTTATCTCCAGATGCAGTTGCTGACGCGTTATCCCCACTAATCAATAACAAATTTTCAACTTTGCGAACTGATTCGTGAATATTTATAAGTAATTGTAAAGCCGCCTTATAAATAATAGATTTAATAAAAAGTTTGATCATTAACAATTAAATTTAATAAAGTTTTTCATTTAACCATACCTTCTTCTCTCGAATGGATGCTCTATGAGATAACTGGCTTTCCAATGAATCAATCACACCCTGAAGCGTTGTGCGAACACCCTGCAATATCATCATAGAATTAGAGACCAATTTTTGAGATCGAAATTTAAACGTATTTATCACAAAACCATACCTGAACCTCTTCTCTCATTTTCCCTAATGGCCTTGCTACTTCTTCGATAACTTTGTCAACACCCTTCAAGTTTGTTGAAAGATCTATAAAACTCGCGTAATCTCTATTTATCATTTCCACTAGCTCGCTTTTAAGACTTTTTAAATGTGCCGTTAGCTCTTTCTTCAATTCATCTAGGGTAACGTGACGCCTATTTGCCAAGAAGGTATCACTGTCGAAGTCAGAAGCAGTAAACATTTCTCGATCAAGTGGTTGGGGAAATGGTAAGGGCGTCCGGCCAACATTTGAAATTTCTTGCGAAGTAGGGCTTGTCCATGTTTTTGTACCAAATGAATGGTTTTCTGTATGTATAGTAAGAGACCTTGAATTGCGAATTTCAGTATTTGAAGCCGTGGAAGTAATCATGAATATTAGCTTTTAGTAAGACACCTAATTAATCTCTTTAAAATTAATGTTACTTATAACATGTTAGAGTGTTATTTTAGATTTTTTTTTAATTTAAAACGACACGGGGGGTGCTCCCCTGCTGCATTTTTTTGCGTGCAGCTGCATTTTCATTGTTTTCAATTATATGGTTCAAGTAAGTTACAATCTTGACGATCTGTAATAAAGTTACGTGTAACCTATGAATTAAGGAGTTCTCGTAATCCGAAAATTTCGATAATATAAATCAATAATAGAAAAATAAAATTATAAATATTGACTTATATAGAATATCTATCTATATTACAAATAAGAACGGAATTTTAGTTTCCATTTTCGATCGCAGAGGAGTGTTCTATATGCGTCACTCGTGCAGCACCCTTATGGCGTACTATGGTAATTTATAATGTTTATATTTTCGAAATTTGAAAGCCAGAAATCGAAAATCGGAAAAATAAAACAAAAGTTTATTAAATAAAAAAATAAAAGAAATAAAATTATAATAAACAAAAAAATAAGATTTATAATTTAAAATTCAAAAAATTATTTAAATAAAATAAATTTTTTTTTAAGTTCTTTTTTTAAAAATCAACTAAGCTAATTCACTTGAATTTATATTGTCAGCAAAATAAATATACAATACAGTGGCACCTGTCTATATGCATATTGTTTTTTTTTTTTTTTTTTTATTGGTTAAGGGCATTAGATGCGAAGTTTTATTTGATAATATTATCACAACTATTACATCAAACATCTTTACAAGCT